CAGGGCTGGCACAACAGGATGGCTCATCACTATATTGGGTCAGGCTGAGGTGGAGTTAATCTTCCCACAGCAGCTCTCTCAGTGCTGTGTTTTTCGGAGTGGTAGCTAGAAGAGTGTTGATAGCACCCCAGTGTTTTGGCTAGTGCTGAGCAAGGCTCACACAGCACCCAGGCTGTGGTTTTCCAACGTTCCCCCAGCAGTAGGCTGGGGGTGGGCAACATCTTGGGAGGGGACACAGCCGGGCCAGCTGAGCCAAACTGACCCAAGGGGTATTCCACACCATATGACGTCAGCTCAGATATAAAAGCGAGAAGGAAGAGGGAAGTGAGGGGGCATTTGCTGTTTGTGTTTGTCCTCCAGAGCAACCGCTACGCGTCCTGGAGCCCTGCTTCCTGGGAAAGCGGCCGGACATCACCCGCTGATAGGAAGTAGAGAACAATCTTTGTTTTGCTTTGCTTCTGCGCACGGCATTTGCTATTGCTACATTAAACTGCTTTTTATCTTAACCCACGGGCCTCTTGTTACATCTTCCCTCTCCCCTGTCCATCTAAAAGAGGAGTGATAGAGCGGCTTTGGTGAGCTCCTGGCCTCCAGCCAGGGCCAAACCACCACAATCACCCTTGTAGCAGTCTGTCGGCTTGGCCGGCTCCTGCCGCTACCTGTGAAACAGGGATGGCAAAAATCTCTGATGGGTGCTTTGTGCTTTGCCTGTGAAGTCCATCGCTCTTGTATGACATTTGGAGAGCCTTAAAATGACCATTCATTAAAAAAAAAAAAGGCTAATATCTGCTTTATCAGGACATGCTTCCTTTACACAGTGAGGACCGAGCCAAGCAGAGTGAACATTACTGTTTATTTAACCCCAGGGTAACTTATTACCAAGTGTCATTCCACTCAGCGCACTCTTTTAATACTGATTATTAGCTTGAGCAAATAAGCTGGAAGTTCTTACCGTTCATTCTTTGAGAAAAGGTCGTTGACCTCACGCTGTAAATGGACCCGCTAAAGAGGTGTATTTTTTTTTTCCAGGGGCTGGAGTGAACTTCACCTGTTGGACCAGCCTTCACGCATGACTCAGGAGCAGAATGAATCACAGCTCGTAGCAAGGGGGAAAGCAACTAGTGAAGAGGCTGACGGGTGCTTGGAGGAGACGTCTTCTGACGGCAGGGCTTAAAGAAGAAATGTAGCTTCCTCTCCGCTGGGAACTGCGTGTTTCTGGTGAGTTAGAGGAGATTAACGGGCATTCCTACTGCGCTGACTGGTGGGTTAATTTATAGCTATCTGTAAAGAAAGGCTTATTTGTTTCAGTTAGGAAGCTTGGATCCCTGGAAATTTTAAGCAAAAGCTGTGTGACTCGTTTAAGGAGAGACTGAATGGCAAGTGAGAAGCAGGCTGGGGTAATTGCTGCATATAAACAGCCTGGAAAGCAGTCAAAGGAAAATAATTAATATAATTCAGATTTGCTCTCCAAATTTTAACTTTACAAAGGTTAAAAAATAGTACAGGCTGCCGCCTTGCTTTGATATTTTCAATATTTAACCTTTTTCCCTTGTTCCTTAACCGAACTCAATGTGGCTTTATAAACTGACTCATCTATTTGTATCTCCACAGTGTGCCATTGTATATTCTTTATAAATCCCAAAGGAAGGGAGGGCATCCCACTTTTATAATGTAATTTAAACAATTGACACATTTTAACACAATCGGTTAAGATAATATAACCACCAGAGAGAGAGTCTGGATGACAAGGCTGGGGTAAATGCACCGTCCCATCTTGTGGTGAGTATTTATCAGGGAGTCCAGAGGGACATTATCATCTCAGCAGAAGCTCTACTTGATGGTCTTTCCAGAAGACTTTTTCCCCCCCCATTTTTACTTCTTTCCATATAATAAGTATCTCAAGACTTCGTATTTGCAGAGTGAGGGCAACATCTGGCTTGGTAAGCAGCTTCGAGTATTGGACCTGATAAAAACCAGCATCTGGAGCACTGTGGGCTGTGCCCTGGCTGGGAAGACTCCACGTGGAGCTAGGAACATGCCTGTTCCCACACAGGACAGGCTCCTGGCTGGGTTACACCAACTTTCAGAGCACTGATCCCTCAGCTCTGCCCTGTGCGTTTCGTGGGTCTCAGATCTCCAAAGGCTTCCCTCGTGTAGAAGGATCTTTACCATGGAAGTGCTGGGATCAAAATGTAGAGCAAAAAGGAGTCACGTGCCATTTTTCTGTAGTTTCTTGCGATTTCATCGGGTGCCAACAAAGTCCACAGATCCTGCTTTTGAACAGGAGGATTTGGGACGACGTTGGTGAGGGACTCTTTGTTCCCAAAGTAAGCGCGGCGTATGGATTGTTCAGCTTTTGATATGAAAATCCCATTTGCAAAAGGAAAGGAATGACTAAATCGTTCAGGTGTAAATATAAACTCAAAAATAACCCAGGTAAAACGTTTCCCTGAGAGGCACTTTCCTCTTTTTTCTTTCCACCTCCTTCCATACAAGCATAAAATGCACGAGCTTTCTCTCATTGGAGCTTCCCATGTCGTACCCAAGCTGGGAAGCAACCTCAGAAGGGCCTTGGGTGTCTTCAGAAGGCTACGGGACCAAAGTCCACAGCTTAGAGGTGTCAAAGCCCTGGATCTAAGGGCTCATCCCCATCCAACAGCAGCCAGAGCAACCGCTGAGATGTCTGGGACAGGGGAGCAATGGACAAGACATTACCCATGCTCTCTCACCTTGTCTAACGGAGGAGAGCTCACCCACACCAGGATCCAAACTCTCCAGAGAGCATCCACCTCGATTACAGGAGTCACGGTTTCCTTACTGGGGAAACTGGTGGTGCAGGAGGTGTTCTGGATCCTGCTCAGGCTCTTCACTGGGGTAGAGATGCTGGCCTGAGAACACTTTGTTTTGTAGCTTTGATGAACAAATATTCGAAACTTGTTTGGTCAGTTTGATGTAGATGAAAAATATCTTTAAAATAACAGGGGGTTGTTTCCCTTAAAAGCCTTTACCTAAATTTCCTGTTAATGTGAGATAAATACCTATTCTGCTACTGTATTGTACCAGAGAAGTTCTGGCCTCCCACGTCTGGGGGAGATTTGGTTCTCACTAGTTTATGAAATAATGAAGTACTTTTAGCAGCTTTCTAAGCCTCCCTGCTGTGCACAGCAGCTTTAGTGAGGATGCCAGGAGGCGGCCCACAGGTTATGAAACACCTTAGGAGAAAATCAGCAACATGCACGTGGAATATTCCCGTTTAAGCCAATGATTAGACATAAGTCTGGCATAGCGAGATTTGACACATTCAACTGGCACTTCTTATTACATGTAGCAGACTTTTAACTTGATTTCATTGACTTTATTTCCTATTTTCTGAGTATTGATCTATGTGAATAAGCTAAAGCTCATCTGGACAGTAAGGTAACCGGCAGGGAGCAGCTTTATCCATATTTTCTGAAAGTGGACTGTGTAGTTGAGAGTCCCGTCCTCAAACAACTTCTACCAGGTGATTTTCTGGCAGCAGGGAACAAGCCTGCATGCCTGCTTGACCATAAAAAGTGAACTTTGAATGGTGAAGACATTGAGCGGGGGGAAATAGTAGCAATCATTAGGTCTATAACCTACAGGACAAATGCTTCCCTGAGGAGTCAGCAGCAGCGTTGTTGACACGCCTGGAATGGTGCAACGTGCTTGTGGGTGATTTCCAGGGAAGAGTTTCAGACAGCGCGAAGCCACTCTACAAAGGCAGGTAAAAGTTGAGAGTATGAGATAGTCGTAAAACTCTAAGTCTTCATGTAATAATTAATGGCCTGTGGGGCCAGGGTGTTTGAGGGACGCACGTGTTTCGTGGTGTCATTCACCTGTGAGCGGATGTCGGTTCAGACGAGGCTGGTGAGCAATGGGCTGGGGTAGAGTCAACTTATCTCTCTTGAACTAACTCACAGCGGACAAGCAGGAACCCTCTGCTCAGGTCGGGTCCATCCAAAGGAAGCTGAAGAACTGAGTTGGACAATCTGCTGTAAAAGCTGGATTGATGCCGCTGATAAATGAGGGACTAAAGGTCAAGGAGGAACTTTCTGCTTCCCTGAGCGATGGGAGATACCTTTGCCTCAACGGCAAGCCAGCTTTTCCTCCTCTTGGAGCTGAGCCCCTCATCTCCACATCCTTATTCTGCACTCCTTGGACTGGCAGCAGGTGGTTGCTGTCCACGAAGTGTGTGTTCTCCAAGGGCTGTGGCGGGGGAGTGAGGAGAGAAGCAGCAAAGTCAGCTGGCAAAGGCCTGGCCCTCGTGTGTGCAGGGGGTCACCTACATGAGGGGTCCAACCCCAGGCATCAGACCCTGTGCCAGACCCGTTCTACTGGCACCTCAGTGGCTCCCGGGATGTCTTGACCCTTGTCCTGACAGCTCAGGCTCACATCCACAGAAGAAAACAGATGCCACAGCTGCAGGAGTACATCAGGTCCCCTCTCTGAATACAGAGCAGGGAGCATGAGCACAGAGTTGTTTAAGAGATCATCGCTTCTACTTGTGTTTTTGTCTCTGCTGTAGACACCAGAGGAGGAACATGCTGGTCTGCTGTATCCAGTCTGAGTAGAAACTCATCTTTCTCAGATGTTTATGGACTGAAGAAACCCCGGTGAAGGCGTGATCCATCCCAGCTGTGCATGCAAATATGAAGTTCTTCTGGATAATCCCATTTTTCCTGTTGCAAGGTAGAGTCTTGGCTTGGAGGACAGTGGTGTGGGTGAAGCAGGTTGCACGTGCTGAGTCCGTGTCTCTTCATAGGCTCTCACCCACACCAGGCTCATCAGGGGTTACAAGAAGACATGGTCTGTGGGGCAGCTTTGCAGGAGCCGGGTGTGCATGTGTGAGAGTTTCCAGCATTGTTGTATGACCCAGTTCCCGAACTGGGTGTCATTCCTATCCACCTGTACACTCTGTGACTGTGTATGTGTCCTGTGCTTAAGAGGGTGGCCACACTTACATGCTAGTTCCCTTGCAGATGCTGAAGCTTTTCTGATGAAAAACACCAAAGCCAAGCTGTGTTTAGAAGCCAGCCCAACGACCGTGAATTTATTGCTGGAGGACTGTAATCCCGAGTCGGATTTCCAGGACTGGTCTTGGCGAGGCAATTCGTTGATGAACCACGGCACGCGGACCTGCCTCTCCACAGCAAAGGATGACAGGGTGCAGACAAGTCCCTGTGGCAGCACAAGCTGGGACTGCTCAGATGCGGCGCTCTCCCCTCTGGGCAGCAGCCAGAGCTACCTGGTGGTGAACAGGAAAGGAGTCGCTCTCAGTAACGTGAGAGGCCTCAGGGCTCAGTGGCAAGATGTTGCAGACAGGAGCGTGTGCGAGGAGAAAGCAGGTCAGTGCAACATGCCCTGGGGACCAGCCACCCACCCACACATGCTGCTGGGGAATGTGGGAAGGCACAATCGACATCCCAGGATCTTTCCAACCCTGGGTTTCCCACTGTAATGGGATTTGTGGCATGAGCTAGAAACTCTCTGCACTTCTTGGTGCATGAGATGAGGCTGCGCCCTCGTGGCTGCCTTCTTTTTGCTTTGAGAGACGTCGTGGGGGGCAAGAGGAAGGCTGTTTCTATCCCAAAATATTGTGGTGAGTGACTGTTGCATCTTTCTGCTCTTTTCCTCCACAGCTGAGATAGATCACTTCTTTGCGGCCCTTGCGAGTACACACGTGTATGACCACACAGCGGGCAACTTGACCCTGGCGCTCGGCATCGATCAACACCAGCTGGAGGAGCTGCTCTGGTTCTTCCGCAGAGAAGACCGTAAGTTGAACTGACGTTCCTGGGTTGAGAGTTGACATGGAGATCCAGAGTTCTTGACTGTTAACCCTCCTGCCTAGTGGAGAGGCGCCAGGGAATTACCTGAGGAGGTGATTTACCTCAGATATATAAACAGCCTCACCTCACTGCAGTCTCACCTCTAGAAGAAGCAGGCTATGAGTGAAGACCGAGGCTTTGATGAGACAGAGTCTCCTCCTAGAGAGGGGCTCAGCTTCTTTTCAGGCATGACCTGCCAAGAGAGCAAAGGTCTGGGATGACCAGTGATTTCTGGCAGGGTGGAGGGGAGCAGATTGACATGAGCAGGTCAGTGCCCAGGGGATCAGCTTCAAAACCACCAAAAACAAGGACGGAGCATCTGCTGCCATCCGTGCTGCACACCGCAGCTGGTGTTCAGTGGTCAGCGGGAGAGATACAGAACCTGAAGTAGGGGAGGGACTATGAGTAGCAGAAAGCAGTTGTGTAAGTTTTCTGCCCGGGAAGGTAGAGTTGCATGAAGTTGTCCCAAAAAACGTGGCCTGGGTGCTCTGCTCTGGGCACTGGAGCTGGGTACCAGCATTAACTGCTCTGCACACTCTGACGCTGCCTCTCTGTGCTCTCCCCCAGCATCAACGTGGAATTACTCTGTCCTTGCACTTTCCTTCGTGGCCATGATTTTGGGTCTTCTCCTTCTGACCATTAACATTGTGCGAAACAGGTGAGACAGGAAAATCTGAAGGTCTTTTGGTGCGTGGTGATGTGCTGAAACCTCCCCAAAGAGACAGGCACGTGGATTTGGCAGGGCAACAGGCCGGGAACAAGCCCTGAGTGATGGGGAGAAGAGCAAAACCGACCTCCCTTTGAACCGTGATTCACTGTAAAATCTCACCTGGCTCCCTGCTCTCCTTGTGTGTCACCTAGAACGAGCCACTTCACTTCTCCAGGCCCTAGATCTTCACCAGTAAAGCATCTGCAGCATCTCTGCCCAGCCCATTGTGCTATTGGGAGGGAAATGACATTAAACGTGTCACTTAAGTGATGCAGCGCGGCAGGCAGGGTGTGCCCGTGGGCAGCTGGTGTGTGCCCAGGGCCAAGAGGCAGAGAGGTGGATGTAACATCATCACATGAGGTAGATGCTGCCCCCAGATGATGGGCTGGGCTTGCTGCTTCACTCCTCATTTCCTTTTTATTGCCTTTTTACAGGAAAAGGAAGACCCACATGTACAGAGAAACGGTGGAAACTATGCAGGAAGCTGAGCTGGAAGGCAAACAAGCCCTGATGCCCGTGCAGGGGTACAGCCCGGCTGAAACACAAAAGCAGGAGCTGACGCCCCAGGACCAGAGATCGGGGGAAGTGGTGGTCCAGTGGAAGGATGGGACTGTCACGTCTCTGTACTCAGCGGCATCTGAGGACGCCACATAACGGCAGCTAAAGTCAAACTATTTAGGGCCTAAGGAACGTATCAGGATGTCTCAATTCATAGCGATGGAAGTTTAAAAATTATGTTTAGCCTGGGGAAACAGAGAGAAAAAAAATCAAAAAAGCAAGCAGCAGAGCTGCCCCAACAGACGTGGCTCCAGACTCGAGGCAAACCTGCGCCACTCCTGTTTCAGCTCCTCGGCTTCCTCCAGCCTTCTCTCCCACCCCAGCTTCCCCTCCTCCCGCAGACGCTGCCTGTGCCCACCATGGTCAGGTGGGAGCTGGGCCGGGGCAGGAGACGGGAGGTGAGAGGTGGGCGGCTTTTCCTGTGGCTGGGGAACACGCCGTCCCATCCCGTGAGCAAAGCAGCCACGCTGAAGCAGAGGCACTTTTGTTCTTTTCAAAAATCAGCTTTATTAAAATATTTTCCAAAGTGGTTGATCGAAATCCCGTGTTGAATCTCTCTCTCCATCAGTAAGGCTGTATATATAGAGAGATATATATATGTATATATGTACAAATATACACGTGGTTATTTTATTCTGCAGAGTAACTGCAGCTCGGGGGAGAAGCAGAACATTTAACGTGCTACGGCAAACGCAATCGAGCGGCCCAGCCCTTGGCCTTGGCTGGGGCACAGGTAGAGGCCTTTAGTTGGCTGAAACTCTATTTGCA